GGCAAAGAAGTCGTTAAATAGTTTAGCTTTGTCGTCTGGTGTGACTATCAAATTTCCTAGCATGTCTTGCAGGGGCCCCATGTCATCATCTGTTCTTAACAGAATACCTTTCCCAAGGAGTTTCCTAAGCTATAGACGTTTATTTATCCATTTTGACATACAGCTGTTGTCAAAGTGCTCAAGAGATAGTGACCAGCCAGTGGGGATTTACATTGAGAACACTGCGGTAAGCTCTTGCCTTGTCAAAAGAAGTATCATTGTTTATTCAGGAGACCTTATGTTTCAAGGTTTTTCTCAAAATGATCTGTGCATGCTGCATTTCCTGGGACTGATTTTCCTCTTAAAGGATGAGGGGATAAACAGACCTTTCTGGGATTTGGATCTGTGCACCAGGGATGCTAGATAATTCAGATCCAAGTGATACCTTTGTAGCCACTCTTCAAATATAGATGTATTTATCTGTGTACAGAAAATTCTCTGAACTACATGGCTGCAGATTCCTTAGTTTGGTGACTTATTCCATGATTGTCCCTTGAATATGAACAGGGGAGGGTTGCACTGGGATTCTAGGATCCTGTTGTACGAGAGCAGGATTTAGTAGTCACACATGCAGCCACCTGTTACTTCTATGAACTGATACCTCATGAACTGTGACACTTAGAAAACTGCTGTGTCTCAGTCAGAAGCTGTACTGCCCAACTTCTTACCAGTATCCAGCACTGCTTTTCCTATCCCTGTTGGCTCAGGAGAGGATGCATCTTGAAATGGTCACTGGATCTCGCAACAAAATTTACTGTGAAATACCTTTTAAATTAAACCCAACAGAGCTAACTACCCTGTGTAAAGAACTGTAACTTCTCCATTATGCTAAGGTGACATGATCTTCCGCGAATGTCCAAAGAAGTTAGAAAGACTCCTTGTAAAGGCTGTCTCTGTGGACAACCTATTTTTCTGATTTTGAGAAGAGTCTTTTAAAGAAATAATATTTCAAAAAGAGATTAAATGGCATAAAATGCTGCACTGGATAAAACCTATACCTTGTGTGTGTGTGTAAATTTTTTTTTTTTTTTTTTTTTTTTTTTTCTTTTTAATCCTTAACTAAACATTTTTGTTCCGGGGCTAAAATTTTTTTTTTTTTTTATTCCTTTTAATCCTTAACTAAACATTTTTGTTCCGGGGCTAAAATTTTTTTTTTTTTTTTTTTTTTTTATTCCTTTTAATCCTTAACTGAACACTTATGTGTCAGGGCTAGAATTATATGCTTGTTTAAGAACCACTTAATGACTTGGAAGTGGGCTGAAGGGGACAGGATTAGAAGCAATGGCCTCAAGTTTCAGAAGAGGAAACGTAGGTTGGAAATTAAGAAGAACTTTGATTATGAGGGTATTTAAGCAGTGGAACAGGCTACCTAGAGAAGTTGTGGGATCTCTATCCTGGGAAATTTTCAAGAACAGGTTAGACCAGCAGTGCTCAACCTATCTGGCCATTCAGGTGGAAGTGAGTGGTGCAAAGTCGGTCTCCAAGCTTGATCCAGTCAAGGGTCTGTGTGCTAGATTCAGTTGTAGAGCAGCTGCATATTCCGATCCATCCCTGCATGCTGGATCTGTCTACAGAGTGGCCCTGCACACCAGTGTCATCTGGCATGTGGGGCTCCCTACGGGTCCAGAGCTCCAAGAGCTGCAGCAGATTGCTGCCACTGCTCCCCCACTGGCTCATTTTCAGGCCCATGTGGCCCAGATGACATGGCTCCATGGATCAGATCCAGCCCCTGGGTTGTAGACTGAGCTCATCTGGGTTTTGCAGACACTTGGCTGGGACAGACTAGTTGGGGATAATCATGCCTTGAGCAGGAGGCTGGACACTCTGACCTTATGAGGTCCCTTCCTGGCCTGGTTTCCTATGATGTACTGTAAATAGAATTTATTATATTATTCTTCCCCTGATACCTGTGCTTCTTTCTGACCCTGCCATCACCTATACGCTGGTCGGGGAGAATTCCAAGGTGCTTTTTTTCACTGTAAGAGAATTTTGACACTGAGTCTATTATACTCTGAACTAATGTTTGACTTCCAATCAAATTATACTTGAACAGTGGGAGTCCGATAGCATGCAGGGAAATCCGTTCCATGAGTAGTTTCAGGCCAATGCCAGTGCCCTGTATGCAGGCAACAAATCTACTTCAAGACCTGCTTATAGTCAGGAAGTAGAATTTCCTGCTGTTTCTTCACTTCCTTTTTCAGAGCCTGGCAAAAAAGAACCACCATCACCACTGCAAACATTTCTTTTCGGACTAAAAACACTTGCATACAAAGAAAAAGGGCTAGGTGCCTGATTGTACAACAGCACCACATAGTGCCTCCTGCCACAAGAATATTCCCATCCCAGCCATTGCTGCTCCTAGGTCTCTGTGCTAAGAAACATTGAGCAAAGGAGCTGGCACAATTAATAGGAATATTTTTGCATTGCCCTAACCACTAGATGGAGTCTTCCATTCCCTGAGTTCAACAGAAACGTTGTGAAATAAGGTTACAGTTTTAATTTTGTATCTGGCCATCTTGCTTTTTATAACATGGTATTAATTCAACCTTGTGTAACTTCTACTCTCACCTATACTTGTCATGTTTTTGTGTCATAAGGATCAGAATTAACTCATTTTTCATTGAATGGTAATGAGGATTTTATTTTTAAACTAAGATCTGGGTGTTTTGGTAATTGGAAAAAAAATGGTAATGTTTCAGTTCACAAAAGGATTGTGAAATATCTAGTGAAAATGACACATTCATTTTTCCTAAAATATATTATTTGAGTAATCTCCATTTTTCCTCCTCTTGTATAAAAACTCGATGGAAAAATGTTGACCAGCTCCACTATCATTGCTTCTATGGCTCAAATGGGTTTTGTACTTTGTAAGTATGGAAGGGGAGATACTCTCACAAATGCTTAATAAGATTAAAAGCTCATGTCCTGTTGGATACTCAATGAGTTCTGTGCTCATATACCTTGTAGATGCTTTTGAATTTCCCTCCTTTTAATTCCATCATCTTAAGTATTACCGTTTTAAATTGATGGCGCTAAGAATTAACCTGTCTTTTTTTACCTTAGTTTATAACTTGTATGGTGGTAGCACCTAAGATTTCCCATTTGAACTACTTC